GTATGCTGTTTTCTGCTAGAAGGCATTCTGTCAAGATCTTTAATTTCCTTAGTTCCATACTGAGCTCTTCTCCCTTCAAATTGCTTCTTTTTCTAAAGCTGAATATTGAAATGTTTGGGCCTGTTCCCTGCTGTTCAGTCATGTTTGGTCTCCTCCTCTTATAATCGGTTGTCAGGTTCTGTCATGCTCTCTAATTGAGTGCTGTCCTTAGAGATTTCTGCAAAGCATCAGTCTCTGCATTTGCACTTTCTAATGTTGCTTTAAACCAGACTCTCAGATGCTCACACGGGAACTGTTTCATCGCCCTCTAGTTGGTTTCTCTGTCTTCGTCATACACTTCAACATAAAAGTCTACTTGAACACTCTTTATTAAACATAGGATGAAACATCTTGCTTCCTTAATCTATAACCTCAACTCTCCATTGCCAACAGAATATCAAAGAAGTATTTTACTTTACATATACAGAATCTTCTTTTTGCTTGCCTTGGACTTCTTTTTAAGTCTGATTTCCAGCTGAACATTGTCTCCAGCCAAACCAGATAACAACTTGTATGCCTCCATAATGTACTGTGATGTTCTGCTTTCTCCTCCAAATAGTCTTTATCTCGACCTTCCCTGCTTTCTTTTCTCCAAATCCTTTCTTTTTTTCAAAACCCTTACCAAATATGCTGTCTTCTCTGAAGCTTTCTTTAATTCCTTCAGTCTGAATCAAACTCTTGCTCCACTTCAATGCTATAGCACCTTGCTTTCTTTTCTGCCAGAGTATTTATAACACTCGGTATAGCACAGCTAGTTATAAGACAGAGTTACAAGGCAGACTTTAATATTTAATCCTACAAATAGATAATAAATTCCTTGTAGGCAGTTGAAAAACTCACAAAAATATTTAGTTAAGTACCATTTTGTTTATGTTTTGCCAGCAAAACTGGTGCCATTCTTGCAAGAATTAGAGGGTTAACACCGGTCTGTGCCAGTGCAGGAGCCAGTCCTGAGTCAAAGTATATGTGACTTAATTAATAGGTTATAAAACATGAGTATTAAACTATGATAACTAAGCTAAATATATATTTTGTGGATAGTTTTTCCCATCTGTTTTTCTCATACTTTTAATTGCTAAAGGTAAAGATTTGTTTTTACTCCCCCTCTGCTAATTGTCTAGTAAAGTTTTTGCTTAGCAGTTGATAATCTTTGCAATCACTGTGAAAACTTTTCTCCTCACAATGGAATGTAAATGGGTACATGTTGTCTATAGTATATGGTTCTTATTAATATGATTTTATATTGCTTTTTTTTTCAATATTAGAACAAAGTTCTTAAATTATCTGGCAGAAGATTATTAGTGGATACTTTACCAGAGACTTCTTGATTGCCTTAGAGAGAAACCCAAATGCCAAGGGATTATATTATACACTTTGGGTGACTGTTTGAGAACAGGGCTTTTAGGGAGTGACAACAAAATATGATGTAGGTTTTAGGGGAGAAGTTGCCTTTTGACAACAAAGGCAGGGTAGAACCACCTAGTGCTTTATAAACTCATTTATGATTTTTCACTTGCCAGGGAGTAACTTTGGGCAAATTCCCTACTTCCTCTGAATCAAAACTGTCTCTTTTATGAAATTAGATGTGAGGGGGAAATGAACTTATGTTTGTAAAGAACTAGAAGCACAGTACCTATTACTAGTAAGTATTCAACAAATGTCAACTATTGTTACAACAATCGCAAAACAATAACAACAGTAATAAAGATAATCTTAGGAGAAGCAGGTGAAACTTACTAATCCTGTGCCTTTGATTTTGAATTACCTGTAAGAGTAGTTTATTCATTATAATTCTTCAGATGATCTTATGGATTTGATCACATAAATTGAGCCCTTAAGCATAAGTTATTTTATGAAATTATTGAAAAAGAAAATGCTTTATTGATTATAGTCAATATTATTGCTAACTCTTCAAAATAATATGTGAATGTAGCTTTTCTTTAATATTAATGGCTCATTGAGAAAATACATGAAAATATCTCCCTCTCAGACAAATCAAATTAAAGTAATACAAAAAGGTGGACAGGGAACATGGGGACCTACACATTTGGAAATAATAACTCCAAACTTAATTGACTGAATGAATACCTCTGACACTGAAACATTTTCATTGACTACATTATATATAACATTACTTCAGTTGGCCATGTTGATGTGTGGTATTCTTTGTGAGGTCAGCAATGACATTATCAACAAGACAGAAGCAATGATGCTAAGCTAAAGTCTATCAACCACAGCATTCACATCAAGGGACCAGCAGGCTGCTGGCTATATGTCGGGCACGTGCATTGCTTAGATAATTAGAACTGGAGTTCTATTCCCCCATTGTCAGGGAAACCTAGTTAGCCTTGAAATGGCTCTCTTTCAGCTGGTAGGGTGTTCATTGTTGTGTGATAGGCACCCTTGTGAACATTTACAGCAGCAACTTGAATGGTGATAGTGAGCTATGACAAACGGGTGCCTGCTAAACTGAGGTTTTACTATCAGAGCAACCTAGAGTTAGCTTAGGGTTGTCTGAATGACCAATAGAGATCCCTGGCCAGCATACACCAACTGTCTTGAATAATTTGGGAAACAGGAAATGGTTGATATAGCAGAGAGACTGTAAAGATGAGGCCTCCAGCAGCAGAATACCTATGTGTGTGAAATATTTTCCTGGTGAGAATCTTAATTAAAAAAGGCTAATTTGAGAATTTAGGAGATTGTCAGGAAGAATGAAGTCAAAGGAAAAAAATAAAATTTTAAGAAATACCATCTTTTATTTTACTGTATAAATTATAGTATTCCAAAAGAAATTTTCTGTAGAATCATAGTACTGAAATTCTTTAATTTAGGATAGTATGATAATAGATACTATACATATAATATGGACCCAAACATTTAACTGTATCATAATTTGTATCGAGATACTATGTGTTTTTTAATTTGAGTACCTTAAGTTAAAACTGACTTCATAGTAAGTACATTCTGGATTTGTAAGATATCAGTAGAGTATAAAATGTGTTGTTCTGACAGGTTAGAGCTCCTCCTATACCGGAAAATAGGGTAGTGGTTTCCCTGTAAGATGTGGGTGTGCCCGTTGCTTTTGTGAATGGAAAGTCTTAGGCAGGTCAAATCACTTACCTCTAAGAATTTTTTTTAGGTGATCCTGCAGTGTTATCTTTTTATATTTAACATAATGAAAGCAGGCAAGAAGATTTTTGGTGGAATTTTCATTTTTATGTACTTTTTGGTTTCTGAAAGAAAGAATAATTTTAGGTTCTCAAAAAAATTTAAAAAATTTGATCAGTGCAGTAGTGGAAAACAAGTGAGAGGAAAGAAAGTCAAGTGCTAAGGCACTACAGAACCTTATTTAGAAATACGTAGTGAGCATAAAAGAGTGTTTGATCTGGATTGTTTCCTTTTGAAATTGTGGTGTCATGCAACTTTGGCTAGAACACAACTTTTCTTCTTCTTTTTTATTTTAAAGATGTGGGGTACACTTCAGGGTTAGGCATACAAACGTTGATTATGCAGGTACCCTTGTTTATGAGGTATGCCCCTCCCTCCCCTAGGAGTTTCCCTCAGTTGCCAATCCCATCCCCTGACAGTTTCCCACTACTGCCAATCACTTTCTTATAGTATTATAATTGTTCAAGGTCTGCTTATGAGTGAGAATATATGGTACTCTGTTCTTTGTTTCTGTGATAGATCACTGAGCATGAATGACTCTAAATCCATCCAAGTTGCTGCAAAGTCCATATTTTTGTCTTTCTGGCTGCATAATATTCCATTGTGTATATGTACTACATTTTTTTTTAAATCCAGTCCAGCTTTGGTGAGCAAGATGGTTGGTTCCATGTTTTTGCTATTGTGAATAGAACTGCAACAAACATATGTGTGCAGATATCTTTTTTGTGGAATGATTTGAGTTCCTCCAGGTATATTCCCGATAGAGGAATTGCTAGGTCATATGGAAGGTCAATTTCTAGTTCTTTCAGAAACCGCCACACTGTCTTCCAAAGAGATTGCGCTAGTTTGCATTCCCACCAGCTGTGTAAAAGCATTCCTTTTTCTCTGCATCCTCGCCTGCATCTACTGTTGTTTGTTTTATTAATGATGGCCATTCTTAGAGGGGTTAGGTGGTGTCTCATTGTGGTTTTAATTTGCTTTTCTCTGATGATGACTGAGACTGAGCACGTTTTCGTGTGTCTGTTGGCTGCCCATATATCTTCTTTTGAAAAGTGTCTATTCATGTCTTTTGCCCACTTTTTAATGGGGCTGTTTGTTTTTTTCCTTTTGGCACATTTGATAGAACAAAACTTTTTTAAGTTAAGGAATTACAGCATGTTCAGTTTGTTAATTTGTGAAAGCATCAAAATATAGTATCCTTTGACTTTTTATTTGTTAAATGTATACTTTTAGTGATAGAAATGTAAGTTGCATTGGCTTTGGCTCTTGTGAGAACTTCATTAAGAAGGAAAAACTCGGAAAGGAACTTGTACCACAATTTGATTTAAACACTTGCCAAAGAACCTAAAGCGGATTTGAGGTTTATTGTCATGTTGAGTGACCCAAGACTTTTTTCTACCATTTCTCCTTGTGCAGGGGATTATCTGTTGAACAAATTTGCAAGTACAGCATGCAGTTTTGTCAAATACTCAATGACATTTCTTTTTACAGCTCTCTTGACTTTATACTGTTTAAATATCCTCAGTTGTCTCTTAATTTGCTTTTCTTTCTTTACTTCCTGTAGAATCAGAAAGTAACTTTTACATAATCAATTCCCTTGTCTAGGCTTTTTTGGTTATTACTTTTGAGTTGCCGTATAAAAGTTGGCATGTTAGTAACTTCCTTATTTTAAGTTTTCTTTTCTAGTTTAACATAATTTTATAATCTACACAGTGTCTTTTTATTTTTAGGATTGTTATGTGCTAAACATCCCAATTAACTTCTTTTGTTTCCTTTTTTTTTCTTTGTAGGCTAAGAAATGGCATTTCAAAAGGCAGTGAAAGGAACTATTCTTGTTGGAGGAGGTGCTCTTGCAACTGTTTTAGGACTTTCTCAGTTTGCTCATTACAGAAGGAAGCAAGTAAGTAACCTTACATGTACTGACTATACTATGGAACTAAAATCTGCCAAAGAACTGTTAAGGGGGCATGTGTAAACTAATGGTTTTGTTTAGAAATTACTTTAGAAGTTTCTTAGTTTAATCTAGAAGATATTTAGAATATAGTGCTCTAATGGTTCCTGAGAACTATGTGTATCTCATTAAAAACAAATGAATTTCCTTTTTCAGGAAGTATTATTTAGCCTCTGATTTGGCTCTTTGGTTTTGAAAAGACTACTTCATTTATGAGTGCCAGGGTTTGTTCATTTAGACTTCTGTTGTCTAATTCATTGAAGTGTTTGGATACCTTCTTTGTTCCTGCCAAAAGTTTGTCTTATTAGAAGGCAGGCGACAAAGAAAGAAAATGAAAAAGAAAATGCCCAACTGAAGTCTAGTTTCATTTCTTAAAGGTTTAGTTACTTATGTTGTATTACCTTGCATTAGATATAAATTTTAATTGGGGAAAACCATGAAAGTAAGATTGGTATGAAGCGTCCAAATAAATTCAAGTGTTCAGTTTATTTTCATGTTTTTTTTCCCCCTGGTACGGCAGCTATGCCTTTCCACAGTTCAAATTGATGCCAAGACATAATTTTGCTGAATGATTTTATTCTTTGCAGGCCTGAAATGCTGGTAACCACTTTGGGAGTTTGTGTCAGTCTTTCTTTTCCGCCTTCTTCATTTCATTAGGAATTTTGTGATACCAGCTGTATAGTATATTCTTTTTTCAAAGATAAACACAAAGGAATTTGGTAAGCTCTTTGTTACTGGGCAATCTGTGAACTACTCATTTTCTACGTTTCTGTGGCTATCGTTAAGCTATGGGAGGCCTTGTACTTCTTGTTTTTGTTTCTTTGTGCCACAAGCTGATGGAGCCAGGCACATTGCTTGGAATCACATATCCTAAAGAGGACTACTTTAAAAGCACATATTAGGAAGAATCAGTGTGCTGCTATAGTTTAGACAAAAAAGTAATAACTCATTTTTATGTGCTTCCCCCTAAAGATGGACAATATTGAATAAGTTGTATTATTAGTCTTTCTTTCGCATTATGGACAGTGAGCATATTACTCTCAAATTTTCCTAAGAAATGTATGTTGCAGGTATTATTATTGTTTTTAATTGACACATAATAACTGCACATATTTATGGGCTATATAGTGCCGCTTCCATGTATGTAGTGATATTATTAATTGACTGACTTGATGTTGAAATTCTTCCTTATCCCTTGATCATGTTTCAAGCACTATTTCTTTTGAAAGATTGCCTTGGTTCCTTAATAGTACGTGTGAAAAGATGTTGCTTCTGCTGAGGCTATTTCAGAAGTATACTTCTGTTTGGGACATTGACATTAAAGGATTAGATTACTTCTGCCATCCTGACCAGTGCTATCTGAAGCTATACTAGAAAATGCCAATGCCAAAGGTCATGATATCTAATATGATGAGTTGTTGCTAAATTTATATGTGATTTGTATCTTTTAACCACAGTAAGCATGTTCTACTTCAGAGTTGATAGCTTAACTCTATACTTAAGTAATACTGTTTCATCTATTTTTTTGGGGGGGGGCTTGATTTCTTTCTAATAATTGATCTCACAGAATAGAATAAATAAAAGATACTGCCCCCCAAGCACTCAGGTTAGAGGTAGATTTTTCAGTAAAATTAAGGCAAAATAAAGGCTTTGATTCCTGGAACATATTGTCATTTTATTCTTCCTAAGTTAGACATCCTGAACACCCTAATAGCCAAATGAAATGGATACTAGCAGCTTGAAGTCACTTATAATTTTAACCTGACAAGTTCTGTTAAAAAATTCCTACAGGCATATTCTTTCAGTGAGTTGCATAAGAAAACCAACTGTGTACACTTTTTTTTTTGGTGATTTCTGTCCCTTTAAGACACTGCTGTGAGCATGTATTTTGGGGGTAGTAGGTGCAATGTGGCCACAGGGACTGGCAAAAATCAATAAAAGCAAGAATGACAGAGAGGAAACAACTTATTTGAACCATTGGCATAAAATGACCACAGGCTTCCCTTATCTCAACTGTCCTTTCTCAGAAAATATCTGCCAATCAGAGCCGTTCTAGGGGATGAATTTTTCTGACTTCAATAGTCAAGAAAAATCTGCCCCTTGAGACACACTAATTGGTTACATTTTTGTTTGTAGAAGTCAGAGCTTAAATGTAACTAGGGAAGCTTCATTTTTCTGCAGAGTGATGCTTAAAGTTTTGGCCTGTTACAGGTATATTTACCTACTGTGTTTTTATATTTTTATTTTTCTAAGATGATTCCGACTGATGAACTGCCCTCTATTAAGAATATGTTGGTGTTGAATCCCCAAGGTACTGATATCTTAGAAAACCATCTGTTGACTTTCATTTTGGCACTCTCTGTCTTCCTGGCCCCTGCCTTATACTCATTTGGTACTCCCAGTACAAAGCTTCCTTCCTAAAATACAGTCAGGGGTTGTATGCTGAATACAAATGGATTAATTCTAAAAGTTGGTAAATTGTTAAAACATGTTTGGTGATAATATTGTGCTGTAGGAGTGTCTAGTGTCAGGCCAACTCAAAAAAAAAACACCAAAAAAACCAACCAAAAAAATTAGCTTGTTTTTGCAAGGAAAGTGATTATATATGCTTTAAAAAAACTAATTAATTCACTTAGCTTTGATCCAGTTGCTAAGGGAATAGAGACATTTGTGGAGACTGGCATTTCTGGGGACAGGTCAGAGGTAAGAGGTGGTAGTGAGATTCTTTTGCCTCACTTTATTTCACACTATGGTTTTTCTTCATATAAGCATTTTGTTAACGTTTGTCTTACTTATGTTTGCCAATGATGAATAATGCCCACTGTTGAGCCAAGTGAAACCTAGAGGTTTTTTTTTTTCTTTTAGCATAAATAGATCAGATTTAGAGAGATGGAGGAATGCACAGGTCATAATAGCCTAAAGAGAATGCTATTATTATTATTCTTTTGGAGCTGTGGCAGCCTAATTCTTCAGTTGCAGTGAGGAAGCTAGTGTGGGAAAGGAGATGAACGTTGGCTGATTTCTTTTTGATTTGTCCATCTGCAGGAAGGAGGTTCGTGGCCACAAATGGTATCCACATTCCAGGCCGTGTTCTGCTACTCATTTAGGGGCTTTTAAAGTAGTCTCAGAGTGGCTTCCTCTTCCTCATTTTCTCCATCTTTATTTTCCAGCTGTACGTAGACTATGTTTCCACAAAGGTACCTTGATATTTCCTCTCCCCAGAGCCAGCCATATGCCAAGGTAGGGAAGTCTGAGTACTGGGATAGAATCATTTTTATCACTCTTAAATTCTACCCAGGACAGAACAAGCAAACACCTCTGTGGTGGTGTGGAGATTTTCAAGAGCAATTTGATTGTGATTCATTATTTAGTACAGGTTAGTTTAGTAATAAGATTTTAGTTGAAAGAGACTTGGAGGACATCTTACCCAGACTCATATCTAGTGAAAAGAAGTATCACTTCATGGAGGGACCTCCTTTTTCTAATTTTAAGCTGGTGAGTGAATGGAGTAGATGAAAAAGGAAATTTAAATTAGGAGAGGGGGCCTTGGGGTCCTTTCAGAGCAGGTAAACCTTCTTGAACAACAGAAGTGATGAGCAGTGAAGTCAAGGCTGCATGAGGGTTCCCCAGGAATGTGAGAAGGATGGGGGTGGCCAGGGAGAATGGAGCAAAAACAGATGGGAGTACAAGGATTTAGCTTAGAGCTACCTTAGTCTTTTTTCTTTTCATTATAGGCCAAGGCCATTATTTGAAACTTTTGGAGCAAAAACAGAAGGGAGTACAAGGATTTAGCTTAGAGCTACCTTAGTCTTTTTTCTTTTCATTATAGGCCAAGGCCATTATTTGAAACTTTTTTTTTAACTCAGCATTTATTTCCTATCTTCTAGTTCCTAACTGGAAAAATTAATGTTATTGTGTGGGCTTCTTTTAAACCCCCAGTGGTGTGGTTGACATAACACCAATCTATTTAGGTCTGAGAGTGGGCCTTCTCACGTAATATATGTGAGGTCTGTTCCTTCCATTACCCACTCTGAAAGTGCAGTGGGCTTTGTGAGCCAACTCTGAGGTAAAGCCGGAGAACCACTCAGAGCTTTCTCAAAGACCGGATATGAAAGATTCCACCCCACCACCACCATACATAGACAGAGGGTGGGTTTCAGAATATGGAAATCAAGATTTCAACTCAGTGGGAAGGAGTAATATTATTAGAATAATGGAATTGAGAAAGTCTCTGATGGATGTTCATTCATAAGCAGTATAAGAAAGGCCAAGAGTGAGATCCCTGGAGCAACCTTTGCAGACGACCCTCATCTAACACCTAGCTCCATTCCTTTCTTTTGTTTTTGCTTTATTTATCTTTATTTATTTATACTTTTATTTTTAGTTGACATGTTATAATTGTGCATATTTATGGGATGCAGAGTGATATTTCTGTATATGTATACAATGTGTAATGATCTAATCAGGTAACTGGCATATACAGCACCTCAAATGTTTATCATTTCTTTTTGTTGTAAACATTGAAAATCCTCTCTTCTAGCCTTTTGAAAATCTACACTAAATTATTATTGCCCATATTCACCCTATAGTGCTACAGAACACTAGAACTTATCCCTCCATCTAGCTGTAACTTTGTATCCATTAACCAACTTCTCCCTATCCTCCCCTCCCCACTAACCTTCACAACTTTTAATACTCACAGTTTTACTTCCTGCTTCTAAGAGCTCAATTGTTTTTAGCTCCCACATATGATTATCTACCTTTCTGGGTTTACTGTATTTCCCTTTACATAACGTCTTCGAGACTCATCCATGTTGTCATGAATGACAGGACTTTATTCTTTTTAATGACTGAATAATATTCCATTTTGCATATATATCACATTTTCATTATCCATTCATCTGTTGATGGACATTTAGGTTGATTCCATATCTTGGCTATTGTGAATA